TACTTTTAGAACGTTCTACAGACCAACAAGATCAACAATAGGCAAACACACTCTATAGGTGTTTTTTTTTTAAATAGGGTGGCTGGAAGAGGAGGAAGCTCAGCCTACCAAAGACACACAGATAATCAGCTACACAAGAAAGCAGGATCCAACTTTTTTGCCTATTCTTAGGTATTAGATCATGTTAACTTTCCTACAATAAATGCTGTACGCACATGATAACCAAAAAGAGATAGGACGAGGGTAGTCAATGGTGTCTCTTCCTAGCTTTAAGGCTGGACCACTAACCTGGCCAAGTCAATTAACCTCAGCTGTAAAATGAGACTATAATATTGACCTGGATTTGCGCTCCATGGGGAGCAGACAAATACTCCCTAAGATAGGTATCACTGAGAGACCACTCTTGCCTTGACACACCATTAAAAATAAGACAAAAGCTTTACATTTCACTTGGGAAAAAGTGAAGAACGGAGAAAGAACTTGGTTTACCTTTGGATGGCCCTTCTCAAGTCACAGGATCCCAAACAATCCCAGCAATTATGCTCTGCTGCTCTGGGACATGATCTCACACTGCGGAGTGCTCCCGAGCTCAGCCAGCCTGACATAAGCAATGGGAAAAAACCCAGAGCAGAAACAGAGCAGAGAGAGAGGGAGTGCCACGCATCTGCTCACTCTTCATGGTCCAAAAACACATTGTCTGACCTCTAACATGATACAGACTATGATCCCTGAGAAACTCTAAAAGTCTTATTGCCCAGCAGAGACACTTTTTTGCAGCAACAAAGGCAGATGTGCCCTCTGATGACACAGACAAGCTCTTAGCCTTCAGGCAGTCAGGTGTATCGTTACTTAGTAAAGCAGCTTGTTCTCACCTCAGGGTCCAACTCATTTGCCAAAGCATTGCACAAGTGGCACTCTGTATTTGCAAAACACTTCCTCAGGTGGCCTATTTGACACCCAACAGCAGATGGTTTACTGTCCATGCAGCAAATACGGTCATTTTGGGGTTCCAAGTGAGTCATGGCTTGGTCATACAGCAAGCAGCTGCATTCATTGTGGAAATGTTTCAAATGTTCTGCTTATGATACCTGGGTGCTCTCTCTCTAATTCTGCCTCCTCTCCTTCTGCTTCAATGCCTTTACCTGGAGGTAAGTATCAGAACCAGATATAACCAACCCACAAACTTTCCAGAGTTTCAATCTATTGGTATCCCAAATCATTCACATGCTGGAGGCCAAACCAGAAAGCTCCTCTATCTGCTAAGCTCTAGAGAGACAACTACATCCACCCCATTCCTGCAGGACTCTACGGTTTACCCACCTCAGTTCTTTAGTTGCCAAGGCGTTTAGCATGGATAAGCCACATAGCTTATGAGAGTTTAAACTGGCTCTGTTTGTTGGGGTGCCTTGCATACCTAAGTGCAACTGCGTATGTTTTCATACCTTGTACAGTTTGCTGCAGGATATGTTCAGAAGCCTGGCTAGGTTTTTTAAAGCCCTTTATGGCATATGACACCCTCCATTAGGCATGGTTTCAGAACTTGAATTCTATGCTTGCCTTCATGTTGAAGTGCAGTACAGTAAAGACCTTCCAGACCTTCCAGATTTTCATAGCACTTTGCATTGCAGTGTGACACATAGAAAGCTCACAGACAAGAGAAAGCCAAGCAAGACAGACAGTAGGTTGTCAGGTCTCTAGATGTACTGAACAACGGCAGTTCCTTCCACTGAATCAACGTGGCTCACAAATCTTCCCAAGATCAGGTTTTACCAAGGCTGCAGCTCTGACAGCCTCTCTTTGCTATATTTCAGGTTGGTGTTCAATACTGATAGATTTATACAGCAGCCTAGAAACTGAAGCACAAGCAAATGGAGAATAGGTCAGCGTTATTGTCCTCGTTTGTGACCGAGATTTTTTCCAGTAGAAAACAAACTGGGATTGCAGTGCACATAACAAGTGTATTCCAGAGAGAGAGCATAAATGCAGAGTTTGCAGCTGATTTAGCACAGCCCAGGGAAGAATAAAAAAACTCAGCTGCACAGCTTTGCCAAGTCGCATTAGGTGAATCAGTGCCCTCATCTGTCATGCCATGAATCTGGCCATCTCACCCGCAGCCCCAACCATCTCTCCTCTTAAGCTAGGAAAGAGTAAACTACCTCCTGTATAAAGTGCCACTAGCAATATTTATCCCACTGGCTATACTAAATAATGCTCACAGAGGTCAATACCGCAAGACACAGACAAATACATCTTGGAACAAATGAAAGGTAGGGTTGGATGTTCATTTCTGGTATACCAGGCAGTATTAATTTTATTTCCAGGTTTCATAAACTTTTCAAAGCCAATTGTTTAAACTGATAGTCCTCAGGTTCTGTTTTTTTTCCCCTAATGTCAGGTTTTGCTCCATTTTAATACATCCTCTTTAATTTCCTTTACAGCTAAGTACCGGTCAGAAAAAAATGGCAGAAATTTCCCTTACACCAGCTGTTATAGGATCTAGTGTGGATTTTAAAATAGAATAGAGTTGCAGCCTGCATTCCAAAAAAACTCCAGTGAACCGTGTGAAGAGCATTGTTTGGGAGCAACTGGAGAGATAACTGCACTCCTGATTTAACTCATTTATTATCCTCAGTGTACAAAACAAGTAGCTGCAGTAACATCATTATACTGAGAGTACTGAAAAGAACACGACACAAAATGGAAAGCTTAATCTACATTTCTGATACAAGCTGTTTAGCAGCTTCAGCTGTACAACTGTGGGAACTAGTGGTACAACTTTACAGAATCCGGCCCCATGAAAACTCATTTTTTGCACAGTGTGCAAACATGAAATGCAAAATAAATCATCTTGCACTAGGCAGGGCATTTGATTAAGATTAGTGAGCCCAAAAAACAGAGCTACCAACGGGCTCCAAGTTGTGCAGCCATGCCTCTTCCTATTCCTACGTTATTCAACTTCACTTAATTCCTCTTGGTTCTTCACATGTGTACATCAGTTCGCTCTGATGCTACAGTTCTGCTCACAGATTGTTCTTTTTGAAAGGATTTTGGGGGAGGATCAGACAAACAGAAAGACAATCTTTTTTACTTTGTAAAATAGTTGAGCTCCCACCAGGCTGAGACCTCAAAGAAGTCGGTCCAGTACAAGCTACAATAAAGTACAGAAAGATGGTTCAGCAACCAAGAGAAAATGAAAACAAGTGACCAGTGAAGGTAGCTACACAGACCAGCCACATGCAAAATATTATGGCAGAACAGGCAGCTTAAGAGTGACAACTTTTTCTCCTTATTTGAAGTTTCCCTTAACTTAAAGTAACTTACCAAGACTCAAATTATAGAGGCTGCCTTCTGTCCGGTATGTTTTTCTGCACCCTGGCCTGAAAATTCAGAGCCTTAAAAGGAGACAGTTCAATCTACTTACTCAAGAGGTCTTCTCACTCCTGACTAGCCAAGCTCCGGCCATGAAGCCATCAGCCACAGCTCCAATGGTGGTGAATGCAGCTACAAGAAGTCTTTAGGGCTGCTGGAATCAGCCGACAGGCTCGGTGCAGGCCGACATAGGTCTGCATGAGACGGGGTTGACTTGCAGCATCAGAAATGCACGGACTGAAGACAGTCTGAGAGTAATCAGGAAGTGTCTCAACAAAAAAACCAAACAGCCTAGCCAGCACGGAGCAGAGGAGAAAGCACCATCATCCTCACGCATGCAGAAGAGGAAAGGAAGAAGACAGAGAGGGCTAACTTTTGTAGGTTTTTTTAGAATTAATTTTAAGAATTAATTATTTGTATGTTAGCATGATTTCATACCAACTTTAGAAACTGGGGCTCAGTATAGTAAAGCCCAAGGTGGGAAGAAGAAACCACGTTATGTACAAAGCTGCAGAGATGTTCTCCTTTCCCTGCTCACCTGTCCAACAAGCACCTTGCTTTTTTGTTTTGTGATTGTGGCCTCACAACACCTCACTACACTATGAAACTTCCCTACCACAGGCTGCTTTTGGGAAGCGCCAGGATAGAGCACCGGCCTGATGTCCAGCAGGCTAAAATAAATGCAAAAAGTAAGCTAGCGTAAATACTGAACGGAGTTAATCAGAAACCAGAATTTCCCATTTAGGTAAGATTTCTGGAATAAATACAAAATTGGATATGCATTTCAAACTGGGGAAACCTAACAAGTCCAGAAAGGCCTGGGTCTCCCTGCAGGATGCAACTGCAAGGCAGCCAGCTATCAGTCTGCCTTTGAGCTGAGGAGCAGGAGAGCAGGAGCTGCCTGACCCATCAAGGAACTCAACTTGTGGCCAGGGCTCTGAGGGCTCCTCAGCTCTCCGCTGCCACCAGCCTGTCAGGCAGACTGCCAAGGAGCTGGGCAGGAAGGAAACCAGGGAGGTTTCTAACAGAAAAAACATCCCGCTGGAAAATTTCTGACCCACTCTAATAATGGACCTACTTTCAGAGTCAGTTGTGATGCTGGCAGAAGGTAGGGAGACCCACTGCATTTTCTGTTTAGTTATTGGCTTCCTATATAAATTTCTTTCTATACCAGACACACAGCATCGACTGAAGTAATCCTTAAGAAGGATGTTCATAAATCCCTTCAAACCTCTCCACAGCAAACGACATTGCTTTTCCCGAGAATGATGACAATTGTTAATTGGCGCTATTCAGAAGGTAACATTTTCTTTGGTAAGGTCTTTACTTCTTTAGGCAACCACATGTACTTTTGGCAGCGTCTCTAGACAAGCCTTGTTGGCAGCATACAGTATATGCCTCGCTCGGAAAGATTGCATGAAAAAACAGCTCACTTTCCAGTTCCAATTCCAAGGCTTCGTAAACTTGGCAAGGCTGACAACATAATCTGGCTTGACTGCAGGAATAACTGATCCCTGATAGGTAGCATCCTACAAAGTGGCCTGAGCTGCCCATGCACACGCAGTTACTCTACAAAAGGAGACCTTCTTAGACTAACTCCCTGACTACTAACAGTTGACCGACCTACATACCGTTCATTGTTCAGGGTCATTCTTGGAGGGTCGAGGTTGGGGTTCTCCATGGACTCCATCTGAGGACAGCGTAGGAAGTAGTAGAGGGTGTGGAGAGCATCAGGGGACCAGGAGATGGGTTGCTGCTGCCGGGTTTGCCGAATGGGGCTCATTCCTGGGCGGATGGTGTTCAAGCACTGCATGTGGTGCATTGCTCGTGATACCAGATCACCTGCAGGAAGAGAAAGAATACAAAAGCATCTCTTTACTACTAATCCACAGTCCTCTTAGGTACACTTTTTGAACTAAATAAAATCTCTCGCAGTTAAGAGAAATGTCTTTTGTGTGCACACATTCTTTTTCCTCCACAAAGGCGTAAGCTGTCCTCAAGCTGCCACTTTGCAGGTTGTTGTGTGAGAAATTTAACTTTCTTTCAAATGACAAGTTTTAGTTAAAAAACATAGAATGAAACTTCCCTCAGTCACCATACATTCAGAACAACAGCTTTACAGGATTTTTCTGTCCTGTTTTAATGCTGGTTTTCTCCTCTTTCCAACCACGTATACCAGTTTCTCACCCGCCTACAAAAACTACTGATCTCTTTGTAAAACAATGTCCACTGCCCAACCTGAGAAAATAGCTTTCACAAGGCAAAGCCAGTAACACCAGTACAAATACTTTACTCTCATCGCCAGCATCACCGCTTTATGTTATGAGATTATTCCCATTTCTTTCAACTGGTTATGACGTTCTACCCTCCCAGCCCAGGCACTTGTGACAAATTAATGACGTTATGTTCAACAGAGAAATCCCTTCTTTCAGGGGTCTGCTGCTCTCATTCTCACTCTAGCAGCAAGTTTCTCCGGACTAACAAGGCCTGACTCTCTTATTAAAAAGCCAATCTTTGTCATGCTGACTGTCACAAGCTGTGCCAGAAATTTGCCCCTGAGCCTTGTAAGAAGCTCAATCCAGGAGCTTTCCGGGCTGCTCAGTCCTCTTGGTCTTTGAACTCGAGCCAACCTACCTTTATGTCAGAGTACTGGTGGACTTGAGGAGGCCTGGAAGAAGGCGACCTGTATTACACAGTTTCTACTCAGAAAGGATTTTAAGACCGCAGATTTTTAAAAAGTTCACAGAGCAATGACCCCAAGACAGCAGCTATGCAGTCACATAAAGCTGGTCTTTGTGTAATAAGCTTGCTTTGGCCACACCCTGTTTACTCTCCTTTTGTTGTGGTGCATTACAAACTCTCAAGAGCTTTGCAATAAAGGCTTCAAGAGACTACATCTTTGAGCAGTGTGACTACCATACCAGTGAGCTGAATGATTACTATAGATTACTATACATAGCTAGAATCTATTTTTTCCTTGGGAGAATCCTCTGTTGCTTTATGTTTTACAGTCCCCTAAAACTCTCACAGGAAACGTTACTCTATTGTGTCCTACACTTACAATACTGGGAAAGGATGGAACTGAAATAGTTGCCCCATCGCAAAGCTGGTTCCTGAGAAAGCGCCCTGAACTTAGCCGTTCAGGGCTAAGTTAGTCATGCCTCCCTCTGAAATTCTTAGGAAGTTATTATTCATTCATTTATACCTAACAGCAATACACTGAATTTGCCAAACAACCTCCAGCTGAACCCATGGGGTTCTAATGTTACACAGGTTAGGGAGAAACCCCCACAAAGCTACTGTATGTCTAAACATGACAACATTATTAGTGGTTCAGATCGATGGAGCATTAAAAATCTCAGTTTGCAGTGTAAAGCTGTGCCGCTCATTTGTTGCATAGTACATTCAGTTTAAGGACCCACTTCAGAATGGAAAAACCTTCTAACATCTCTGCCTTTCCACTTCAGTAGCTCCTGACTCTCCAGGATCTAAACGTTTTACGAGAGTATCATGAATCCTCTAGCGTTGGTACTAACTCAGAAGTCTGCGCAGTTATAGCAGAAATGCATCTGGAATTCAAATTTTCAGCTCAGAATAACGTTCCTTCTCCTTTGCACACTCACTCTCTCTATTTTTCTGGCAATGTGCAGCAACATTTATTTAAAAAAAAAAAAAAAAAAAGTAGGCAACTGTATCAGGAGATCTATTCATTAGATGTAATGACCAAGTTGGCCAAAGCAGGGACAGAGGAAGAGAGAGAGGAAGCTGTATTCAATCTTAGGCCCATGCTACAAATGTTCTCTTGTGTTCCAGGATAAATAGAGGTGTGTTAAAGGAATTTGAAAACCTCAAATTAAGGCAGGTTGCAAAATAAATGGTGAAACCCACAAACTCCTTGCTGGCCCTGACATTCATTAGCATTCAGATGGTGGAGACTAAGAAAGTGATGCCAGCAGAAACGTTGCAAGGGAAAAGTAGACCAGGAAAACACAAATCATTTTTGTTTACTTTAAAGGGGCTTTGTGAGTAGTCTAGGAATGGAACATTTCATTTGGTTAGCATTAAAAAAGAAGGTTTTGAACAAGTTTTTGTTACCAAAGTGCTCTCAGATTTTTTTCCTCCACTTTTTGTTTTTTAAGTAACCAAAAAGCTTTTCCTTGAATATCCTGCACCCTTGACATTTCCACTGCACAAACACTAACAAAGAGAACCCTCTTCGCCATCCGAGGGAGGTGCCACTGCTGTGTTCCACAAACGTACAAGAAAGCCTCCAGAGGCATCTAGGCAAAAGCATCCATCTTCTGTTGGCACTAACACCACTAACTACCAAAACGTTAGAAAAGCCACATCTTATACATCTCCAAGGTGAATTAAATATAAAGTAGTCTAATGAAACAACCTGATTTTCATAAACAGCACCACGGGACAATTAAATCTTACACAACATTAGCCAAATACTGCTCACACTGTCAACAATGGCAACACTCCCACTGACCTCAATAGCGGAGAGACTGGCTCTCCTGCTTCACTGAAAGAAACCCATGTTCGATTACATCCGAAACTTACTCAGTTCAGAGATGCTTCCAACGCAAGTTGCCAACAGTGACTGCTCTAAAGTTCGGAGTTCCAGCTGGGCGTAAGCATCAGCCGGTCCATCGCTGCACACAGAGCCATCGTTGTATGGGCTAAAGTAGGCAGGCAGGGACAGCACACCTGGGGATGAGAGCAAAGAACAGTCCTGATACAAGTAAAGTTACAGGAGCGGAAAAGCAAGTCTCTCTACTGATAGGAGCGATAGGGCACTTGAACACGTTTGCACCTTTCTTGGGGGACTTGAGGTCTTTTGAACAGTTCAAACAAAATCAAACAGTGCTGTAAATACCATTGGAATGGCTGAAACAGTGAAACTAGGCTCTAGGGAGTAAGGCTGGATGTTTCTACAGCCTTTAAAACGAAACAAATTGCAGTTGAGATAAAACTACATGAAAAGCTTTAGTGAAGTCTCTACTATTGTTTACACAACAACTCGGCTGTGCACACACAGCTTGCTTTTGAACAGCTGTATGCAGATTGCTAGATATAAGGGCCTGATTTTTAGAGGTGTGGAAGATAATCTCAAGTCCATCTAAGGTAAATGGTAGCTGCAGTCTTTGCAACTCTGAAAACAAAACCACGGGCTATGCCAGTTCTTTGAACCTGCATGCAGTTTCAAATGCGCAGACTGTGGTTTCTACATGTGTGAACCTTTGGGTATGCCAAACTACGCCCACGAGTTTTGAGGTTGACTGTATTTTCATCTCTATAAATGACCCCTCTATGAGAGAGAGAGATTAGAAAGATAATTACATTGCACACATTTACCACACACACTCTCCTTCCATTTTATCTTCTGGCACACATGAGCATTACTGCACAGTAACTGAGCAGAATGATGGATTTGCAAGCAGTTTTGTGTAGTTGTTATTGGGACTCCATCCTGCTTCGCATATTTCCCCACAACTCATTTGCATTGTTGAAAAATTAGAGACCATTTGGGTGAATTGGTTGGGAATGGTAGCGGAGAGTGGGAGTGCTACAAAAAACTTGACATTCCGTTTCACATTAAGATGCAGGCAGTCTCTAAAAGGGGCAGTCATTCACTTCCCACAATCATCTTTTTCACCCGTTATCTTTGGTCGAGCATGCTGCCACAATGCAAGTCAGTGCAATGTAGAGATCCAAAAAAATATTGCCTCCCCTGCTTTCCTCCCAGAAATCCAGTAGTTGAATAGTTTCTCTTCAAATTAGTGAGCTGAATTTTGTTGCCCTTTGGCCACGTGATTGCTCTGTGCGGCACAGAGGGAAGGGTGGGAATGTGACCTCTAGAGCTGATGTGAGGCGGGGAGCATGGATATGTGACTGAGGCTGGGGTGGGAGAACAGACCTGCCTCCTCCGGTGGCACCCTGGGGTAGATCTGATGAAACACAGCGTGACACTGCATCCACAGTGCAGGTGGACTCTGAAAAGCCTTCTGCAGTCCACTCAGCCAGTGTTCTGTACCCTTGTTGCTACCTATTTTCAGTTGTGTTCAGTTGCTACCGTATTTTTAATTACGGATCTATCCCGCAATTCCAGTAGCACGCCCTAGCCCAAATTTTCTGTGACTTCAGGCGAGGACACTTATAGCCACGACTGCCTGTGCTCTTACCCTGCTGCATCCTGTATTCTTTATTTTTCAACTTTGATCCATGCACAGCCATACCAATATATTTCAGCTTAGACCCACATTTCCTTCCCACCCTCACCTTCTGACCCTGGTTCAGTCTTGGATGTGGAGATACTTTACTCCTATTGCAGTGACCTCCTGTCACATAGGTGCTGTGTATTCTTGTCAAACAAAACCCTGCCAGCTGAACGGCAGTGCATTGTTCAAGAGCTTTGTTTCTTTGTCTTGATGTTTTCTTTTGAAATTTTATGCTGAATTGATCTCTCCTACCCTTTTCACATCCTCTTTGCATCCTGCTCGGTGGTAAAGCCAAAGGCTGCATCAAAAACTTCCTGGATATTTTGAGGATAAGGGAATGATTTATCCTGTTGTGCTTCTTCACTGTACATCACTGTTAGTTAATGGAGAAAACTCTGCCAATGCCCTCTGTAACCTGAATAATTAGGAAGTTGAGGCTTTAAGAGCTGACAGAAGCGATGCATGCAAACTAGAAGAGCTTGCTTTAAATACACTGTAGCCTCCTATACAGAGCCTAAGCCACTTCCTTTTCCATGTTAAAGCTATGAAAGGATGTTTTAAAGACATATGGATTGAATTTATGGCAGAGGGAGAATGAAAATAAACTGATTTGTCAAAAGTTTCAAATAGAGGCATATAATTCTACGGAGGCGAAAACAGAAACTGCAAGTTACGTTACTAAGCCAGGCAGGGGAAAAAAAAAATGGGGCACATTTTCTCTGCCAGCCAGTTTCAGTTGGTTCTGTTTTCTAACAAGGAATTAAAAATAAAGATTTGTAGAATGATTTAAGCTGGCTCACAAATGAAACAACGTTTTCTCAGTCTTTCAGTTAACACTTTGCCAGGTGCTGTGGGTAAGAGGAAACAGGGATGATTTATTTACTTTTGGAAAAATTACTCATACAAGATAGTTGCGGACAAGATTTATGTTCTTATCTGCCTTGGTACAGCTGAGGAATATCCTCTACGTACGAGAGGGAAATAAGGAAGTTTCGGAGACTCTGGCCACGTGCCAAAGCCCGATGATGCCACTGGGGATTTTCCCTGGGATCGCAGTGGGGTATGAATCAGGCCCTCATTACGTAAGATTTCGCAAAGGCTCCCCACGTCTGGCAGGTCTCGATAGGTATGAGCAGGCCTGGGAATGAGAAAACACACCTCTCGACAGTGCTTTTGAGGCAGACGGAGAGCAGTGACCGGATGGGCAGCAAAGTAGAAACGCACCCCACAATTATTACGTCTTGCAGCACGCTAATCATGATTTCCTCTTCGATATGTTTCCAGTAACTGCGCGGAGTTGGAAAAGCATGATCTGTGCTCTTCAGATCAGAAATTCATGCACAATGACATCTGCAGTCAAGCTTTGCCCACTGGTATTATAATTAGGAACAGGACTTAATCTAACCAATTAAAAACACGTTGTTTGATAACAGAGACAACTGCATTGTGATGACTGCTTGTACCCCAAATGGTGGTACCTGCTCTCCTCCCATCCAAATCAAGAAATCTGCAGTCAAAACATGTTATAATGGTATAAACCATAGGGGCAATTTCTATTTCTATTTGGCATTCACATTTCTCTATTTTTATATTTGTGGCAACACTGGTTTTAATCATGGCTAGCTAAATAAGCAAAACTGTAATTGAAATAAATCAATTCATGTCAAAACACTCTCTCTCTGTTTGAAATCACGTTAAAACTGCCGATTTATTTCCTGACATTCAAGAACGTGTTTTCCCCACAAAACAACAACGTGAAACAGCACGTAATTACCATGCAGGAACGAACCATTCAGGCATGCACACCACTGTTTTTACAGTATTTTCTCTGATGTGGGCTACATTGTGCTTCCTACACATCCCTGACTGCATCCTGGCATTCTGGTCACGATTTTTTTTTTAATTAACCAAGATTTTAAGTATGGGATCCAAGCCCAGGTGAAGTTAGTGAGAGCCTATTAATGTGAGCGTGGCTTAGATCAAACCTCAAGAGCACAAGGAGCTAAGAAGTCACCTCTCTAGAATGGCGGGAGGCAACATCCTGTAGCAGCCCAATTGAAAGCACATTTGCAGCGCTGTGATTAAGGCACGGCTGGCTAACAATTTGTTTCTGATATTTCCATAGCCTTTGAAATAGCAGCTGGAAATAAAGGCATATTTATTCTACCTCAGTTAATATACGAAACCTGTTCATGGGCTCTTCCTGCCAATGATCTTAAAAGGCAGTCACGACTGGGTAAAATTCCAGTTAAGCAGTTCCTTAGACTCAAATTATTCTGCTTGCCTAAAGATTTTGAAATTGTTGTCTGTAATCTGATGCTTTTTAATAGCAACTGAAAATGTTTCCACAGTCTGAGCTAGGTCCAGGGAAAAGTCTGTTCACGCTCTTGGACATCTTTCTGCTTTAAGAGGTGCAGTAGTTCTGCTGAGAGCTGTGGCTGTAGCATGATTGCTCCCATGAGCAGGGCTGTGCAGTCGGTCCAGTCCTCAAGCAAGGCAACTTCTGTAAGGAACCCTGGGTCCATCTCTGAATGTCCCATGATAATTCAGAGGCTGGCATCAAGTTCTGCTCTTCTGATTTCAAGATACAAGCAAATGCAGACTTTTATCTGAGTTTTATTTTAAGATGTTACCTTCATGCTTCATGCTGTTTGCGTGTTACATTCATGAAAAAGGACTAGCCATCATTTTTACTCGCTGTAATGATTTTCTCTGTGCTTTCTCTACCTTAATCTAAATCCTTCATGTTGGGAGACAACTTCCTAGTGATTAACTCATCAGCCATTTGATGACTTTCAAACACTTACATGATGTCTGGAGGTTAAGATGGGGCCACTCACAAGTGGCAAAGGGCCAAGGAGACTCGTCTGGAAAGCACTCCAATTCTGCTGTCTGGGATTCCTCACGGAAATTGCCCAGGATACTAACTCCCTTATTTCAGAAATGCACTGGCTGTATTCATGACAGGTTAGGCAAAAAATCAGAAATATAATTAGGACAGGGGTATATACCATAAACTACTGACACAGGAAAAGTGCCTTTTTTGTTTTTTGGGGTTTTTTTTGATAAACGTAGTAAAGTCTATGAGACAATACAATGTGTATTGATTTCTCCCTTTGGCCAGAATAAAAACAGGTTCTCCGGGTAAGGATTCTCTCTGTGTATTGTGTTTGCATTGCATCTAAAACAGTGGCCATCATTACTGAACAATACCATAACATAAATTAGCACAACAGGAAAAAAGTATCTGTTTGCAAAACCAACCAGAAATGAAAGCCCTCAGAAAATTCAGGATCACCTGTATACGTTCGAAATTTGTTTCTAAAAGCCCCTGATACCGCAGAAAGCCACATATGTGAAGTCAGAACTGCTGTGAATGTGCTACAAAAATGTATTAGGAAACCAAGTAAGAAAAAATGGTCTTGGTCTCCAGCATCAGCATACTTCTGCAATGTTTGGCTTGTGATAAATTCCATAAGAAACATTCTG